TCTGTCTCTCCTCTGCAGCATTCACTCGTGTCTGAGCTCCGGAGCCGCGAGCAGCCTGAAGACCTCACAGAGAGGGAGAGGCGGCAGCCAATCAGAGAAGAGAAGCGCCCCCTCCCTGCCTGGTCTCATCTCTTGTTTTCAATTTCATTTCTCTTTCCCTTTCTCATTTTAGCTTTGCTGTATTTACAGAAATTTCCGATGAAGCCATTCCCTTTCAAAGGAAACTCCGGATAATATGGACTGTGGTTCTAGAAACGGGAGCATATTTAAATAGAGACGAGTAAAGATTTCAACCAAGAAGTTTACGCATCAATAAAAAACTAAACAATTAAAAACAACATTAGATTAATTTTATGCAGGGCTATGATTATGGTGTAATTCTGAAAGTGACTTTAAGGGTTTGTTTTAGGTTGTTTTTATTGAATCCATGAGCTCACTGATTTTATGAAATGAGTAATGCAAGCAATTTTTTTTTTAATTAAATTTGCTTCTGCTTTGAGCTGCAGCTGTAACTTTAGCACACTAATGATGACAGCTCTAGCATACTCATGTTTAGAACTTGTAATGGTTACCATGTTAGAATGGCAACATCTAAAGAAGACAATAAACACGGTAAAGACACCAAAGAAGTCCCAGTCTGTCCATCCAGTTACACATCTGGTGCCTAAACATACACATTTAAACATCTGCTAACTTCAGTTGTTTTTCCTAGATAGATGGTGTTTCATGTTTATCGTGGGTTTTCAAGGGTTTTGATTTCAGTAAAGAAAAAAAAATACTACAAGCAAATTTACAGCATTCAATTTCAGGTATGAACCCAGCAGCAGCAGGACAATCACAATGCTAACATTTTATTAGCAAAAGCTGCTTCCCTTTCAAAATAATGAAAGAATGTAGTGTTATAACGCAGAACATATATACCATTGATATTGTATTTACAAAAACTTCTTTTTAAAAATTATTTTTTGTTTTTATAGAGTTTTTATATAGAGAAAAGTGTGAAAACCACTAAAGGGAACTGACTTACTTTGACTTACTTGGCTCTGGTGAACATGAATTTATAGCTTTAATCAGCAAAGCCCATTCTTTGTCAGACCTTTAAAAAACACAAGTAAAATACAGTAAAAAAAGAAAGAAAGAAAAGATTAATACAATAAATAAGTGGCTAAACAGAAAACTTAAAAAACAAGAAACATTTTATTTAGAACCGGTGTAAATAATTTTATCTATTCAGCTCCAATGTTACGTTCAACATATGTCGTCCATGTGTAACCCAGCAGTCACCAAATTTTGTTCAAGTACTAAATACAGAATGGAGACTTTGAAAAAGCGCCACACAGCAGCGTTCACAGTGTTTACTCTCATAGTTTAGCTGTTAGCATGGTAACATTTCGTCATAGAGGAGGACCAAAGTCATTAGTGGCATTGTAAAGCGCTTTGGGTGCCTTGAAAAGCGCTATATAAATCCAATCTATTATTATTATTATTATTATTATTATTATTATTATTATTATTAACATTTATAGTAGAGAGTGAGAAAAATTCAGGAGGTTAAATAATCAGAAAGATTCAGTGTGTGGGGGCCACACACTGATTATTGCTAAAAACACTCCATCGAATGCTGACGTCAGACTGCTTGAAATTTTCTGGATGATAATTTGGCCACTGGGTCAAACTGGGAACTCTGGTACACTTCACATAATCTTTTCTAATCCACTATTAAAGAATAAAAGCCCATATTTTGGATCCGATCCTTATTTTGCGTTGTTTTTGTGCTGTTATCACACCTGTAGTCTCAACACAGTGAACCCAGCATGATAATTGAGTCCATCTACTGTCAAACCCACCAACTCAAACTGCAATCCCTAGTTTCAAACTCTATGTGACAACAATTACAGTAATAAAGAAATGACTAAACTTGGGCTACCTGTACTGTCCTGATTAAATTATAGGACTTTATTAGTAGAAATAAAGAATTGTAGAAGCAGGAAGAAACTGAACTTTCCAGCTGCTTTTTCTTTGTCTTCAGTCATACAAAAAGTCCCGTTTAGCTCCTCAAACCAGCACTGGCGCTCTCTTATTTGTCCACACAACTCAAGATGACAACTGTTTCTAAGTGGGTGAGACATAAAAGGAAGCTGCCTTTTGTAGCAAAATTAAACATTTTGGTTTGCATTATTATGTGGAAAGCTGCTATATTAGATTTCTTTGAAAAAAAAAAGGGGAAAAATGGATCTGTATTAAATGAAATAAACATGCAAACCATAATCGTTAAGTGACAACTGTATTAAATCCTTTGATGCTGTGTTCTCTGGCAAACTCTAATCTTGGCAATGCCGCCGTGTTCTCTCTTATGAGATAGAGGGGCCATTGTAAGTGTATTCTAATATTGTATTTTTAGTTATTACTCTTTGGTCCAACTAGACACATCAATTAAATACTAATTTTTTTGCATCAATGAAAGCCCGACTGGAGGCAGAATTGGGAGCACGGTACAAGTGAACCTTTAAATTACTCATTTTCTTCCCTTATATCTGCAGAAAATATGTTATCGTCTAACAAAACTGATTTTTGACTGATATTTATTTGTTCAGAAGCTTCCTTAATGTTCCTATAAGCTTTAAACAACAGCAGGCTGATTACATTTCTCCCTGCAGTCAGGCCGATGAACATACAGAACCATGAGTCATGCAAAGATGATGCACTGATTGATAGTTTAGTCTGAGAAATCTGTACTGGATGACTTTCTCCACATGTCAGAACAGAGTAATAAGCCCTGGTACAATAACAGCAAATCATCCCAAATCTCATCAACATCCACTTGTATTACGTAATCCAGGATTAGCGCAGATTTATGTATATGCACTAATCTGGCTTTTCTCTCGCTTAAATGACTGCATAGAGATCAGGCTTGAAGTCACTGTGGGGAAGACCACGAGGCACAAATGAAATGCAGGAAGTAATGCTCAGTTGGTTTTTATTTAACTGAAACTTCCATGTATTTGGGGCGCATTTGTTCCTCATGCTGTAAACTGCAATAAAAATGAAATAAATCACCAAGAAAACAACCTTTGAATAAGTTGTTTGTGTGTTTTATGAAGGCCTGCTCTGTGACAAAGAGGAAAGCAGATGAGATTAGAGGCTGTCCTGTTAAGGAGCACGAGAGAAAACTAGACTTTATTTTCATATTTTTTACATCATGTGACCACAACCAACCAGGTGCTTTATTAGTGTGACAGTTTGTGCAGCTTCACATGCACGAAGGTCTGCTTTGGCCCAAGAGATGGAAATTTAGTAATGAGAAGGTGAACGTGAGGATCTGGGTGGTCTGCAACACGTTACGAATCCTGCGATGTAGTCGGAAATATTTACATGGTTATATGTTAGATTTGGTATTTAGGACGTAATAGTCAAATATACAGTGTTTCCTTTAAATGCAACTTTTAAAAATTTCCAAAACTGAAGAATATACACACACATACTTATATGAAGTACAATAGACACTACTACTTGTCCACAGTGTGTGAAACTACCCGTTCATCTGTAAGAATATATCATCATAGCCTGTGGCTCAGTTATCACAGAGCGTATGCTTTTATACTGATGACAAAGAATAAAGGTCACAAGGAAGTTGTGTTGGATAAAAACGAGCAATAAGACCTATAAATGTTCTTAATTAAGTTCACTTATTGGGGATTATGCAGCAGGATTATAATGTAATGGTGGGTCATGCTAGTCCACAGATGGGTGTGGCTTATTCTTTATTAACACAAACATCAGGTTTTAACAGACAGGTGGGATGGGTCTGTTTGTTTTGGCAGTTTTTGTTTCACTTTATCCGTTTACAATAAGGAAGATATCATCAGTAAGTATTCCAGTGGTTGGGTTTTCCCAGCCAAACCAGTATTGATTACAATCTGGTTCATACATGTCAAAAGGAAGTGGGGCTTTTTCATTTTAACTTGTTCACACCCCTTCAGGGTAGACAATGCTGAATGCCTGAGTGAAAAATTTCCAGTTTGTCTATTCAGGTAAGAATCAGCATGGAGCGAGCCACAGCCTGGAGGTTTAATAAAAATGTCTCCCATGAGTGTGAGAAAATTGCCGAGTGTTGCAGGAAGACAATATACACCACAGCAACGAAGAAACTCGAAGCCTGGAGTCTCGGAGCTGCGCTAAAGGTCTTAGCGGGGGTAACATCCAGGCTGACATGCTGGGTATGAAATGTTCCCGCGGAGACGTAAATAAACAGACTTCACTGTATGTTTGTGCTAGTTTCCCAAAATAGCTTCAACACTGAGCATCAAACACAGGCGTCAGGAATGTACAGTAAACTGTTTGCCTCTTTCTGTCACCCCCCCACTGAAGCAGCCAGGTCACAGCCCTGCATCCTGCTAATGGACCGCAGGGACAAACTGAGTAAACACTGAAGGAATCAAACCTGCGACTCTCTCATCGCATCTGCCCTTTGACTTTAGTCTGTTATGGTCATCTATTACCGCTAAGCTGTCAATGCTGTTTATTTTTAATGACTTTTTCATGTAACAGAAGCAAGTTTGATATGAATGGAGATCTGATGTGCTGTCACACAGCATGGACAACATCTCATACTTGCAACTTATTGCACAGTTATTGCAAAAGCTGTGATTTAATTATTCATCTGTTTATCATTTTCATCTGGATTAGAAACAGGAGTCACTTTTTAATGTGGTATGTTGGAAAATTTCTATTAATACTACAATTCACACACACATATAATCCTGTACACTGACTTAAATATTTTGATTTGATTTTGCTGTTGTTGTTTCAAGGTTGGTTCACATTGCTTCAAAAGTAAGAGAGGTTATTTGTATGAACAGTTAAGCTTTGATCTAGATCCAAGGACGCCACCACTGAACCCAAACACGCTGAAGATGATGCCGACTGATTCTTACTTTGGCTCAACAGTTGCAATAAATAACTGAAACAAGTCACTTGTGAAAAACACATTTCAGTCGAAACTGGTTGAAAAATATACACTTTTAATTTCTGTGAAAGTTCATCGAAACAACTCTGTAACATTTGGCGAAATTCACTGACATCGCAGAAATCCCCTCAGCAATGTGACTGCAAAAACAAGAAGAAATTCCTCTTTTACACTTCAACTGTAGTTTCCTCTTTTTTGGATTTCTGGGCCTTTAAATGTCAAAGTAACAGTAGCAGTCATATTATTCTCACAGACTTTCCGCTTCTTTTTTTTTGGAAGTGGGGGTTATCTGTGCACTTGGCTCAACTAAAATCTCCCACTCAGGATTCGGGCTGGCCTGACTGTGGGAGCTTGCCTCATTGCTAATGTTATTTGTGTCCACCTGAGAAGAAATATCAGTCCGCACTTTGGGTCAGCCACTGTAAAACTCCTATCTCCTGTCTTTGTTAGTATGGTTTGGAGCAGCCTGTCCCCCTGCTAAAGTCCGGCTGCCCTCACAGCTACACCCCTGCTGTTTGCTCAGATTGGTGAGGAGCTCCAGGACTCTAATCTCGTGCTCCATGCGAGCTTTCTCCCTCCTCTCCTCCCTCTCAGCCGTCTCCCTCTGCCGCCGTTCCTCCCTTTGCAGCCACTGGGCCAGGAGCTCCTGGTGCCATCGGGCGTGCTCCTGCCTTTGACTCTCCAGCTGCACCAGCAAGCTCCGGGTCTCAGAGACCAGCTGCTGGAAGCACTCTGACAGGTGCTTAAGGACAGGTTCGAGACAGGAAGGTGCAGGGTGATGGTCGGCAGGGAGAATGTTGGGGTTTATATCTGGAGGTGCTGGGAGAGGAGAAGCAGTGGACTGGGTAAGAGTGGGAGCAGGAGGAGCAGGCAGAGGTAGGACCAAATGTGGAGAAGGAGTGCTTGAGCTATTTTCCACTGTTGTACCTGCAAATCAGGATATAAAACAATACATGCATGGTGTTATTAATGACAGGATTGATTAATAGACCACAAATATTTTCACAATTGTTTGGTTATTAGCATGAAGTCTGTCTCAACTTTAAACATTCAGCCTGTTATAACTCAAGTGCACTCAGAGGGAACAAGTGTCCTTCTCCTCCTCAAAGCTTTATGTTTTGAGCCTGTAGAAAGAGGCTTTCCAGACCTGTTCAGGTCAGAGTACAACAATAATACCACATGGGAAAAATATAATAGAATATAAAGAGTTATGTAGTCGAGGAATTTCACCAAGGAGGTTAAAACCTCATTTGAAGACTTGAATTAGCATCATTTGAAGCACAAACTGCTGCGCATGTCTGGTGGGAGGGGCTTAGAACAGAGCAAACACAGCTACAGGCTTTTTTCGGACACTTTCGAAGAGCAAAAAAAAAAAAGTATCATGCTTTATTGCTAGTGATACCTGAAAGACTCCATATTGCTAAGAACCAAAAAAAATATGTTCTCGCTTTTTATGGAACCCACTAACTCAAGAATGTCACTTCCACATTCAACATCCAAGTTCCGACGTATCTGGAACAAAGCATCTCTCATTTCAAATCCTGGTGATTCTTTAGCCCTTTCTGGGTCTATCACACCACAGCTGTGCCATATGTCATCAACGATAATACTGGGATGAATGATTACTTGACATTTAAAAGTGTCTGCAACTGCAACATCATTTATATAGCCTTCCCAAGCCCAGGCATATCTGACACTGAGAGCAACATGTCTGCTTTCATTGATGATTTAGAAACTAAATATTTAGCTACTTAACTGACCTCAAATAAAGCACGACACTGCAAAATATGCAGGGAAATAACACACTCGAGGCAAAACATCTGAGGCAAAAGCAAAACACCAACACAACCAGGCTATAAAGGACGATATAGTAGGTGGTGATGTGTGACCAAAAGTAATTACTCTACTGAGCATCGCCATCAGTAGCAGTACTGCAAAAGAAGGATGAAAAATGCCCTTCATTTACTGACGCTTCGAAGTGCTGTGGCCTGCAAGCTACAAGAATCAATAAAGCATTTTTTCCCTACATTGTTAAAACCATTATCACAAATCTTCTTGAAATATCCAGATAAAATTTTGAGGATCTATCTCCGACCCGTACTGTTTAAACAAAATGTAAAAATCTTCTTGACTTTAGCTCCTAAAATAAGATAAATGTGTCTTGTTTACATTATTATTTCAGTAACAGTACATACCGTTAATATTCGGGTGGATGGCTGTCTCCAGATAAACTTCGTGGTGCCTGTCCCTCGGATGCTGTGAGAATCCCGTGTCGCTGTACTCTAACTCATCCACCGACTCTTCTCTGTGCTCTACCTTTACCTCAGAGTCCAGCTGACAGCCTGCTCTCTCCTCTAAAGAGCTTACATTTTGCCTCATTGAATTCCCCAGAGAGCCACAATGGTGTCCACTTATGTTTGTACTGGAATTTAAATCCGAGGTAAAACTCCCTGTCCCATCAGTGGAGTCAAAGTGGCCCTCTGACACCTGTTGGTGTGAAACAAAATGAGACCCTCCTTCCCCTCCCCCTGTCCTTCGGCCCAGCACCGCATCCATCTCGGCAAAGTATTTAAAAGTGCACGGCTGCGAGCTGTCCATGCTTCTCTGCAGTTTGGCTCTCACGTAGTTAGCCTTGAGAGTTTTGACTCGAAGCCGGCACTGGTGGGGACTCCGAGAGAAACCCATTTCACTCATGCGAGCTGAGAGGTGTTTGAAGACATGCCGGTTTCTGAGGTTTTCAGCCAAAGTCTTCTGGACTCGCTCATCGCTCCAGGCGCAGAGGAGCACCTGAGTTTCCTCCGCCGTCCAGTTAACGGAACGCTCTGCCTCTCGTTTCCCTGCACATGTACAATACAGATTTATTTTTTCATTGTTGAAAAGTGAAAACACTTGTGAGCTAGCTTATTAGGTGCATGTAGGGGAAATAACATTCTATATTTTAATACTGACTGAATACGATAAATGAAATGAGTGATGGCACTTTATTATATAGTAGTATAATAGAGGGCCTGTACAGTGCTGCTGTTAGCTTTGGGATGATAGAGTTTGGTGTGTATGTCTGACATTTGGATCAACAGTGGTTTGGTCCTGACTCACACAGCTAGATTAAATGATACTGATCTGATCTCTCCAGTTCTACATTGTTCTATGTTTACTACACTGTTCGCAGAAAGGCTAACAGCACTTTGCATCTTTAATTTGTATGTTTGCAGCAGTTTTTCACTTAACTGCAAACTATGTTAACTGACACAACAGGACTGGAGAGCTCCAGCAAAGACACTGTCCCTGCACTTGTGGTAACATAACTGTGTCACACCTGTCTCTGCAGCTAAGAACGAAGTGTGAGAGCCTTGCAGCTAAAACGCTCAGAATATGCCATCAAACGTATCAAGTGGACTTCATAATAAAGGATTATATTTGTAATCAGAAACTGGAAACCTGAGCAACCTGCTACCTGAAAACTGTCTGTTAGCAAACGTGCTTATGACATAGCAAGCGAAAGTCATTCTGCATTTTACTGACAGACAGCTCAACGGCTTTAAACGGACTTAAACTGAATCAAAGGGGACTCTCTGCTGTGTCACAGACTTCTCTAACGTGTGCAGCTAACAGCTAACTGAGCACATTTCAGCGGCTCTGCTTTCTGTTCAGCAGCGCAGTAAAGATGCCGGCGGGTTCACACGGTCTTACTCTTTGTTGTCGACACGGAGCTGGTCGAGATGATCATCGGGGGATTCATTTTGACGCGGTGCCCCAAATGTAAACATGAAAACACACACAGCGACACTTCTCTTCCGGTTAACGGAGTTCAATGTCTGACGTCATGACGTCGAGGAAATTTATCTTGGAGAAAAAACCCGAAAATAGTACATTTGGGTTTTTACATTACAAATGACTTCAACTGTTTGTATTTCTGTGTTAATTGTTTGTTTTAAATAAACAATGTACACAGAAAAATATCAACAACAAACTTAAGGGAGTTCCTTTCAATAATAGAAAGAGATTTCAGCCAGAGAAACATGTACTGGAAATGTTTTAAAATGATAAAAATGGATGATAGTAAGTGATTTAATGTGCTCTATAAACTATAAATCATTCTCCATCTTTTATCTCTTTCACTGTATAATTTCAAAGATGTTCTGGATGGATGTAGCCAAGTTTCAAAAAAGGAAATACCAGAGGAATGTTGGGATAAATACATATTTCATTACACATTTCCTGTAATATTTTGGTCAGGAACCAATTTGACGTTCTTACACTTTATTAACAATTTTGAGTATAACACTATCTTTAAAAAAGGTATTATGAAAACCCCAGTTTGCAGTTTAAGACATTAAAAATGAAAAAAAAAAAAGATTATTAATTTTAAATTCTTCTGAACCGATGTAGAAAATATTTTTGATATGATATTTGGAATTGTGATTTTAAAAAAAAAAAGACAAAAAGGAATATTTCATGACTGATTAACTGATCATTTACATGGGATTGCCAAGAAAAAGGCAACTTTAATAAAATCAATAAAAACACAATATAGTTGTAACGTGGGTCAGTTGTAACACTTCCAATTTCTCCAATCAGGGCTAAGTTTCAAATGATGTGACTCATCCTGTGCATGCCCAACTCAGTTCTGCTATCACATGTGAAAAATCAGCACATTTTGTCAAACACAGACAATTTAACATGAAAAAAAGTAATTTGTAGTCCAAGAAGTAAGTTTTTCTAATTTATTTCAATTTCTAATAGCATTATCTGCTTTGCAGTTAAACTCATCAAACTTAAATTATGTTATTTGTATGTCTATGGGGATATATTCTGTGTAGGTCTTTAGTGCTAGTGTTTTAGCCGTTGGCTGTAATGTTAGCTAGTTCATGGCTATAGGAGTCTGGGTCAGTTGTAATAGCAACAGTCTGGGTCAGTTGTAACAATAATGCAGATGTTACAACTTACCACACTATTACTTTAACTTATATTAAACAAGTTGGGGCAACGACATCAGCAGAGAGAGGTTCACTGGTCGCTTTTGTATATGCGGTT